TGAACCCCACTCTTCTCTAACCTGTACCATACTCTTCACTTACCTGAACCCTACTCTTTTCTAACCTGTACCCTACTCTCCTCTAACCTGAACCCTACTCTCTCTAATCTGAATCCCAATCTTCTTTAACCTGAACCCTACTCTTCTCTAACCTTAATCCTACTTTCCTTTAACCTGAACCCTACTCTCCTCTAACCTGAACCCTAATCTCCTCTTATCTGAACCCTACTTTCCTCTAACCTGAAACCTACTCTTCTACAACCTGAACCCTACTCTTCTGTAACCTGAACTCTACTCTTCTCTCATCTGTTCCCTACTTTCCTCTAACCTGCACCCTACTCTCCTCTGACCTGAAACCTACTCTTCTCTATCCTGAACCCTACTCTCCTCAAACCTGTACCCTACTCTGTAACTTTTAAACTTTTAATCTAATATTTTTAATCAAATTATAAATTTTAGATTAAAGTCTACATTTTTTAGATCAAAGTTAACAAATTTTAGATCAAAGTTAAAACTTTTTAGATCAAATTCCATATTTTAAGCAAATAAAGTTAAGGATTTGAAGCAAAATGGTTATGGGAAATATATATTTTTTGAAAAAAAAATTTAGATCACATTTTACATATTTTAGATCAAATTACACTTATCTTAGATCAAAATCACAAATATATAAAAATGAACAGGAAACTCAAATTTGAAAAAAAATATTTTAGATCAGATTTCACATTTTTTAGATCAAATTTCAAAAATTTTCAGAAAAATGCAGACTTAGATCTAAAAAAAAATTTTAGATCAATTTCCACGTTTTTTAGATTAAATTCTCATTAGATCAGATTACTCTTAGATGAAATTCCTTTTAGATCAAAAGGTTCATAGATTAGTTTTCGAACAGGATTAAAATTTGTTTCTTAGGAAGAAAAAAAACTTTTTCAAGTATTTTGAACTATGGAATTAATAAGAGTAATAGTACTGCTGAGAATAGAGTTCTCTTTTTTGTAGTTAAGATTGGATGAATTTAAAGAACAACATTATCTATTCAAATATTGACAAAACTGCAATTCCAACAAAAAATTTACATTCTATATAATAAGATAGCATACCAGAGCGTGATTTGAAATAAAAACAAGACATACACAATGTGTGCTGTCGTTTGAAATGAAATAACCGGTAATCCAATTTTATGCATGTTTTCAGGGACCGCTTTGGGCTTCTGTATCTCCGATCAATTGTTGATCTTTAACATGAAGTCGTTATTAGTTTTAAATAGCTCCCCAACAAACAAAACACAGGTTTTCAAAAAGATTAACATGATGGAGAACTGGTTGATAATTCACGTGATTAATTCACAGACCCTCTTTGTGTTATACTCGTGGTAAATCTACTTTTCACAATCTTGAAGATTCCTCCTGTGTACAGCACGGGTAAAAAACACAAAATATTCTTTGAAAATTCTTGTCGTTATTTCACATGTTGTACACATAGCAAAATAAACCAGTGCAAGATCTTGCATATTCCTATCGTGCTAAACTCAAATAATGCAATGCCAGAATTTTCAGATTTTAATTCTCCTAATTATCACATGTAATATATTTGAGATATTTCTATAGTTCAATTCTTGTTATTTTTTCACATGTTGTGCTGGTAGCAAAGACACCAGTGCAAGATCTTGCATATTCCAAACGTGTTAATCATGAGTAATGTAATGCCAGAATATCTAGATTTTAATTCTTCTAAACATCATGCATAAAATATTTGAGATATCATGGGAAGAACTTCATGTTTCAATTTAAGAGAGTTGCAAAATTACAACACTTGGTGTCTCTGCTCATCTTTTAGAAACTAAAAGTTTATTGTAGTAAAATGAAATATTTTAACTGACATAAATTTTTCAGTTTATAACATTATATTTATCATTTATATTTGTCTAAAGCTCCATGTTAGAGGTGTTCGCATCTCGACATTCTAAAGCTAACTGACGCTGGGATGAAGTGTGAGCTAGGTGAGCGGGGATTTGACATGTGGGGCGTGCTTGCTTCATTTCGTGGTTCCTGTGTACACACGCATTTAGAGAATTAACAGAGGCATATTGGGTCGGTAAAATCGTCTTCCTTATATTTTCGAATTTATGTTAACACACGTACATTATTGATTTTTTTTTCAAATGTGATTTTCATGTGTTTTAACTAAGTTGAAAGATTGATTTGAACTTGTTTTATTTAATTTTGGAAGGCGCACAGAGGCACGGAAAAAATGACATATAACCCAAATTTTGATTTTGGGGCTATTTACATCTATAGCATGCCATGATCCCTACATTGATCTCTGTAACTCTCTTATCTCTGAGTCCAAAATTTAATTATTTTGAGCCCTGTCTCAAATACGACAAAAACAGGTTTCAATTGAGAGCCATATTAGATCTTGAAACATTGAATACAATGTTAAGTGGAACCAACCATATTAGAGCCCCTTCTCAACTTTACGCTGCGACTCAAATTCTTGAAATTCAGCCCCTGTGGTTAAAATAGAAAATGTGCGCACAGCCCACAGGAAGTCTACTCTATAAAAATTCAGACTGTCATTGTGACGGTTGCCTTTAAAAAAGATCAAACACATAGAACGCATTCTTAAAAAAATGCGATTATGATTAATTAATTTGTGTGTAACCAGATCCTACTTGAGATTGATCGCCGATAAACGGTATAAAAGTCGGTATGGTCTGTTGATTTAAAACCTGAGAAGTGGGGCTCATTCTGCATTCAGCCTGCATGTGTAAGCGCCAAGCAGGCTTCAGGAGTTGGAGTAAAGTTTACGGGCCAGGCCTCTGATTGGTATGATTTTAAATTTATTCATCATTTCCTGGAATTGTTTCTCAAAATTTAACAAAATAACTAAAATAACGAAATAGCAGGAAATAACTAAATACGCAAATACCAAGATTTCATCAGAATTTGCGCAAAATAGCCTTTTGCGCATCAATGTGCAAAAACATTGAAATTTTGTGCAATTTTTACTTGTAACGTAAGCAAATGTTTGCACAATTTTTGCACAATTTTGATGCAAAAAATGTTGACTGGAAACCCTACTAAATACCCAGAGCCCTGCCTTTAGGTCTGTAACCAGGCTTTTATACTTACTGCCTGAACCCTCAAGTACACTTCCTGAATGATTACTTTTTCCTGTAACAAATTAAATATTTGTTGTGACCCTTTTTCAGTTAATTGTCAGATTTTAATAACTTTTAGCATTTTTGAAAGCCTATTACATAAGGAAACGGATTGCACAAGTTTTGCAGAGCATTTTTTGCAAATTATTTGCATAATACCCATCAAAAGAAATTTGCTTATTTTTATTTTTTCTTCATTAAAATTTTTCAAAACTTTTTGCATATTTGAAATGGCATGGTTAGTGTGGCCTAATGTAAAAAATGAAGCTTGCATGCATGATTCTTATCACTGTGATCTCTCATCAGTCCCATGTAATAATCCTTGGCCCACACAGAGGAAAATTATAATTTTTTTTTAAGCAGGGCATCCTGCATTGGCACTTTTTTCAATATGTTACAGTTAGTTTTATGTTGGGCTTGCCAATATTCCATTATTTTCCAGCAAGTTTTTAAAAATTCTGAAAATCCTTTTTAGACTTATATCTTAATGATAATGCCAAAAAGATTTTTGTTTAATTTTTTTTGCCCATTCCTAATTCTTTGTATTTTAAGCTATATGAAATCAAATTTTAAACCCTAGATATTTTATATTAGGGACCGCCTACTCTAATGGTACCATTGGTGATATGCAACTGCAACCCTAAGATATTTGTCCTGGGCTCCCCTGGCCTACAGATCATTTAGACTGGACAACTTGCTGATATGGATTAAATGCCATATAAAATTTAGATTTAACTAATTTTTTTGAATTTCCTATTAAATTTGTACCTTAAACGTATTGTTTCACATTTTCCTACTAGCATTTGTTTTTAAGCAAAGCTTGCTGTTATTTAGATTATTCTTTTAAATCTTTTGAATCTTGGCACATTTAAAAATAGCTTTTAAAAAAGCTCTTTTAATTTCAATATCTTTTCTTCTTACCCTGGGACCAAATTTAATGCATTTGAGCTACCTGGTTTACTACCTGCTGCCTGCCAGTTTGAATTTGAGACACCAATTCACAGTTAAAGATTCAGGAAGGATTTGAACAAGGGCATATACAACCAGAAAAAAATCCTGGGGGGGGCAAAAATTGAGCGAAGTGCAAAAAAAATGTTTGCCCCCCCCCCCAGGAAGTTCCAAAATTTGAACTGTAAATTTAAAATATTTGGCTTATAGAAGATCGGGCATACTTTTTTTTATGGGTTATGGTATTCAGTTTAGGAAACTGTCTGATATTTCGATATTGAAAATTTGTATCCATTCTTTTTTTTGTAATTTTCCTTTTTGAAATTCTTTACTTTGAAATTCTTTACTTTAGGAGCTCCTAGGGGGGGGGGGGTAAGTTTGAAGTGTAATATTTAGCTTCTTGGATATCAGTCATAAAAGTCGCACAAGTATAAGATACTTTAAAGGTACACATACAGTCCAATCAACCTTCAAGTACTACTTTATCTCTCCTTCAAACAAGACTCTTTAAACTTAAAAGGGAAAGTAAGGTTACAGCATTGCTATAATATGTTTTTTTTTTGGTTGGGGGAACCCCTCAAACTTCTAAACAGCAAACTATCTTTGTCCTGTTCTTCAGTTTAAGATTGGACAAGTGTGAAAGCTCTGAGTTCTAGGGGCTGCCTGTATACACCCTTGAATTATTTGAATCAGGGATTCAAATCTGAACTAGCAAATTCATCAAATTTGGTTTCATGGCTGGATTTTTTCACAAACCAGCTTTCTTATTATTACATAATCGATATATATACTACTGCCCCCTCTACACCTCTGTAAAACATAACTGTGTGAACTATAAAAACTTCAAAAAATTTCAGATATATGATATGACATCTTATTATCTGTCAAGGCCTACCAAGTGGATGGGATTTGCCTTTGTTTCTGTTGTTTTAGTTTACTATCTAATCAGTGAGTAAATTTGATTTATGAACAAAGATAGTAATACTGACAAACCACGTAAATTAGTAAAGTTTTAATCATTGTTTAGCAGTAATTGATATGTGGAAAATAAATGTTATAAATTAAGCTTTAATCAGAATTAGACTAAGGTTGCTATTAAACTGTTTACTTTATAAAGTACACTTTCAGGAGAGACTCCCAGTGATACATTATCTGAAGATGCTTCTACTCCTGGTGCAAGATATTTACCAGCTAAACCTAGGGTCTGGATATCTATGGGTAATCATATAATACTATTATAAATAAGCAAAAGGGTTTATATTCTTCTTAAGATATCATATGTAAATATTAATCCTTGTTTGTAAACTATAAGGTATATGCTGGGGTCAAAATGCTCAAGTTCATGGAAAAAAAGAATTTCCATACAAAGAAGCGGCTCTCAGGTCATCACATGATTTATGATTAGAAAATAATTGCCATTTGATTTGATTGATTGATTTGATCCAGGTCTGTGTCTTTGTGGTCCAAGCTTACAGAAGCTCAGCCTATACTTCAGATCTCCTATACAGAATCCATATCCCCAGAACTTCTGGATTACAAGTAATTATTATTTTCATTTACAATATGAATATATTACAAATACAATATGTTCATGAATTCACTCTGTCCATCACTAGGTAAAAATTGTTTAGAAATAGAATCAAATCAAATCAAATCCTCTATTAGGCCACAAATTAGAAACATACATATTAATAAAATAACTGACAAATTTATATAAATTATAGCCAGGGAGCTCAGACTGGTTCATTATAATTATGATGAGATTTCAACTGTGTCCAATGTGAATGAATAGTGCACTAAAATGGGGGAGTGTGCAGCAAAGGTGGCTGGAGAACAGGAAGTATCGTCAATTTTATAAGTCAGAAATAACAAAAAGTTATGGGCTCAATATATATAATAAAACAAGACATTCCTATGTATATATGTGTGTATAACTGGCCAAACTGATGGATTGATTGGGCTAAAATTTTTTGTGGACACTCATGGTTGTCCGGGGGATGTCAGAGGCTAAAAAAAATTTGAAACTTTTTTTTCAACATTTTTTTTTAAAAATACTTTTTTCAAATTTGTTTTCCGATGGCAACGCAGGGCCCTTCAGCTAGTAATTCATAAAATGATTTTTGATCAAGAAATAATATTACTACATGTTAAAATTTTTATCAGAGGAGAAGACCAAAGTTAAGCAAAATATTTCTTCAGACAAGGATACATACATATGATATTTAATATATGTATAAAGTGCAATGGTAAGACTTTGAAAACCCAAGTGTAAACAACTTAAAGTTAACAATTTTACTTAACCATGGTTCCCTCAACCATTTTGGTCACACAATGTTTGATCTTGGGATTCCTCAGTAAAGTAAATTCCTTTAACTTTCCTTTATGGCTATTCATTCATAGTTACAATCAACGAGACAAACTTTGTTTATCATTAATATTTTAAAAATTGAAACCATTGAATTATGAAAAAAGTCACAAAAAGTACACAAATCCCCAAATTTAAACAATATGCCAGAAAAGTCTTGAAGTCTTGAATTGAAAGCCATTATTGGCTCGATGGTAGTTTATCATGTTTTAATGTAGCACTAAGCCTGAATTGTTTCAAATATGTTTAACTCTGTAATATGCAAGAACAAATTTAGGTTCTGATGATTATTATGTGTTTCTCAGTATTTTTGCAAGCAATTAATATGTTTCCAGACGTGAAGGTTTGATGTAAAACTGAACAAAATCTCTTTCAAATGTTTTGTATGTTCACAGAGTTCAGGAAAGGAAATTCCCCATACTATTCCTTTCTAGAAAAGGTCTAGAGGTGAATGGAGCTTTCGTTTACTTCAACAAAACAAATGATCTACCATGTGTACTCTCCTCCCAACTTACTAGGTACAGGTGCTGATACAGATAAAGGAAATCAAGACCAAATATTAAAAATTTCAGCTGCAGTCGCTTAACTTTCTACTGCTTGTTCAAATTTGAACCACTGATGTAAAGTAAAAGATTAAGGAAGGATTTGAATCTGTGGTTTAAATTTGAACCAGCAGTAGGCATTTGAGGCCTTAATTCTTTAAATTTGGGCTCCGGCCAAACAGAAAATTTAAAAATAAGCTGATTTTAAAAAAAATGGCCAATGCTCAGCTGTTGTTTGTAAACCTGATTTTGAACTTATGTGGATTGTGAACTTATTATAAATGAGTAAAATCTTAAATCTTTATTTCTTAATCCCTCAAGGGCTGTTTGCAATGGTATGTTTCACCCTAGTATACATGAATTAGGTAGCCCTTGTTTCAGGATGTTAGCATACAAGCTTGATATTGTATCACCTAATGATATCATAATAACCGCTGATGTTGATGCATTTGTTGGAACCCCTCATATACTGGATCCCCTAAACCAGGTCTAATACTCAAACTTGTCAGAAACATGTTTTGCTGTTAAAAAGTAGGTGATGGGGTGGTGAAAGAGGTGGTTAAGTAAAAAATGGAGTAATATTAAATAAAAATTTAAAAAAAATAATTTTAAGATATTTATATTTCCAAAAGCTTGGTGTTAACACATTTTAACATTATATTACATATTATTACAACTTTAGTTTGTAGCAAGTACATCATACAATTTTGAATATTCATTTGTAATTTATATGCAGAAAAAACCTTTCAGAGTTTCATGAGAATTGAATTTGGATATTGTTGTTTAAAGCAAAGTAAAATATTTTTAAAAGTTAATTTTTTAAATTTACAAAACTATTTTAGCTTTTTGAGGAGATAAACTTCAGGCATTGTAGTTAAGTTAAGTTAAGAATACTTATTATTGGTTAGATCAAGGAAAAAAAGTAAAATGCAAAAAAAAATTTCAAAGGTGTTTTTTTAGGTATTTTTAGAGTGGCCATATAAGTCACGGCAGTTGCTGCAGGGCGGGTATACAGAATTTTTCCTAAATTTATGAAAAAGGCAAAATTAAGTCACTAAAATGTTATATAGATGACCATAGGAACTATTATTTACCTAAAAATACTTTTACTCTTTAATTTCAAACATTATTATTAAACAATAATGCAAAAAAAAATAGTTTATTTAAAAAAAACATATTATTATGTGAAACCCAAAGAAGTGGTCAAAGCAAATGGCTCTATCACACTTTGATTCTTTCTCACACTGAGAAGGTACTATCAGCATAGCAAATTTCATGAACTCCAATTTGCCCTACATTATGTGTGCACACTTTCCAAGTAACAAAAGTGAGAAATTTCCCAAAATTCTCCAACTGTGGTGACTTTTTTTGAAGAATTTCCAAGGAATTTCTCAAGGAACATTTCCTGTAACTGATTCTTCATAAATTCTCATGAAATTTCCCAGAATTGGTCCCCAAGATGAGATATGTTTGTGGGATCACAGTTTTGAGACTCAGTTTTGAGCAATTCCGAAGAATTCCCAGGAATTTTTCCCCACTAAATTCCTCAGAATTTCTGTGGAATACTTCTCCGGAAATTCCTGAGATTAGTTTCGAGAAATTCCTGGGAATTTCTCCAGAATTTCACCCCAAGAAAATCCTGAGAATTTCTCCTGATTACTTCTCCGGAAATTCCTGAGAAATTCTTAGAACCTGGTCACCATGTTTATGGACTTTGAGGGTAATTTAATAAAAGAATTAGTTTCGAGAAATTTCTGGGAATTTCTCCGGAATGTCAACCCAAGAAATTCCTGAGAAATTTCCCTGAATGCTTCTCCAGAAATTCCTGAAAAATTCTTAGGACTTAGGTCATCAAGTTTACAGAGAAAATAGGAGGGGGGGAGGGGTTAGACTCCATGTTCTATGTGATTGAGTTTCCTTCTGGAAAAAACAACCTTTACTATAGCTTGTGTGAATAGCTCTTATTAGGCTAGTTAAAGCGTGCATGGATAAACTAGCCAGAACTATCCCAACAAACAAAACACAGGTTTTTAGCGAGATTAGCATGATGGAGAACTGGTTGATAATTCACGTGATTAATTCACGTACCCTCCTTGTGTTATACTCGTGGTAAATCTACTTTTCACAATCTTTGTGATCAAATCGTCGACAATCACCTCGACAACACGTGAATTATCACGGGATAATGACGGGTCACTCGTGTGAAATACACCAAATAATCTTGGGTTCTTCACGGGTTTTTGTTTGATGGGATGTAGAATTTTCACATTTTTGAATGTCTATTTGCAGACGATATGGAGATCCACGAAATCTTATGTAAAATTTTTTGATAATCATTAGTTTAAGAAATATATGCAAAAATATTTGGAAATTGGGATTTCTCCTTAACTCGATTCACAAATTATTTTCATTATTCAATTTCTTCAATGTTTTATTTAAAAATTACACTTATTTTACTTCATTTTTATATAATTACGTAAATTTGTCTTTATTAATTTCATTTTACTCTAAAACAGTGACAACTGATTGAAAGTATTGTTTTACCAAAATTTAAAGTATTTATGTTAAGAAAAAAAATCATGACATTTAAAGATGAAAATAATTATTTCTTGCCAAAAGCATTTTTTTCTGAAATATAAAAACAAGTGGTGTAGTGATAAATATACCATATAATACATTTAGANACTTTAGGTTAGTTCCACTTAAAATTGTATCAAATGTTTCAAGATTTAAGCCGGCGCTTAATTTAAATCGGGTTTTGGCGGAAATTTAAACCGCGGTTAAAATTCTTTAAATTCCATCTCTGGTTTATTACAACTTAAAAATTCAGAATAAGATATCCACACTTTTGAATTTCCTCTTAATCCTCTCTTTTCGGATACTCCTCGGATACTTTTGATAACAATTACAGGTATGACGCTATATCAATTGGACTAATATTTAATTCATCTGAAGGCAGCTGTTCGCAAGCAGGCTTTTAGAGCATTTAAACAAATATAAATTTAATCATTTTAATATGAATTTATTAAAAAACTAATTTTATCACATTTGAGGTAGGGCTGGGCACGTTCCGACTTTTTTAAAATCGTTCTGTTCCGTTCTAGAACGAGGGCCTTCAGCTAAATCGTTCCGTTCTCGTTCCTTTTTTTGTATCGTTCCTTTCCGTTCTGTTCCGTCCCGTTCCTTTCCGTTCTGAGTAGAAGAACAGTCTTCCGTTCCGTTCCGTTCTTGGCGTTATTATTTAAAGTACGGTTCCATCCCTCTCATTCCGTTCTTAGTCAAAGAACGTTTCCATCCCCCCATTCCGTTCTTAATATAGAACGATTACTAAAACTGGGTTACCTTAAAAAAGGGGGTG